CTGGATCGTATGGTACTTCTATTTCTAGCTTTTTAAGGAAGCGCCAAATCGATTTCCAAAGTGGCTGTATCATTTTACATTCCCACCAACAGTGTATAAGTGTTCCAGTGTGTCCACAACCTCTCCAACATTTATTATTTTGTGTTTTTTGGATTAATGCTAGCCTTGTTGGGGAGATAATATCTCATTGTAGTTTTGATCTGCATTTCTGTAATGGCTAATGATCATGAGGATTTCCTCGTGTATCTGTTAGCCACCTGAGTGTTTTCTTTGGTGAAGTGCCCGTTCATATCCTTTGCCCATTTTTTAATTGGGTTATTTGTCTTTTTGTTGTTGAAGTTTTGCAGTATCTTGTAGATTTTAGAGATTAGACGCTGATCGGATTTGTCATAGCCAAATATTTCTCCCCAGTCTGTAGGTTGTCTTTTGACTCTTTTGGTGAAGTCTTTTGATGAGCATAAGTGTTTGATTTTTAGGAGCTCCACTTATCTAGTCTCTCTTCTGGTACTTGTGCATTGTTACTTATGGTTCGTATTGTGTCTATGCCATGTATTAGGTCTTCTAGCGTTGTCCCTATTTTTTCTTCCGTGATCTTTATCATTTTCGATTTTATATTTAAGTCTTTGATCCATTTTGAGTTAGTTTTTGTGCATGGTGTGAGGTATGGGTCTTTCAGTTTTTTACAGATGGATATCCAGTTACGCCAGCACCATTTGTTAAAGAGACTGTCTTTTTCCCTAATTAATGGACTTTGGACCTTTGTCAAATATCAGCTGCTCATAGGTGGCTAAATTTATGTCTGGATTCTCAACTCTCTTCCATTGGTCTGTGTATCTGTTGTTGTGCCAATACCAGGCTATTTTTACTACCATGGCAGTATAATAGGTTCTAAAATCAGGTAGTCTGAGGCCTCCCACTTTGTTCTTCTTCTTGAGTAATGCTTGATTTATTCGGGGCCTTTTCATCTTTTTGGGTAATTTTTAATTTCAACATGGATTATAATTGAAAAAAAGAATTCATCTGTTTTCTCTTTCTCTCTTTTTAATCCTCACTTCCCTCAGAGCATCTAACTGGCTCCAAGCCGAGTCCTCGGACACAACCACGAGATGAAGACTATGAAGGGGCGCCCTGGAATTGTGATAGCTGCACCTTTCTGAACCACCCTGCACTAAATCGCTGTGAGCAGTGTGAGATGCCACGGTACACTTGAATTCAGAAGAGTCCACACCAGGTTGCGAGTGACTTTTTGAGTACCCATCCTAAGAAAAGGAAGCTTCGGGAATCTACTCATCGGCCCAGCCTTTTCATTTCAGATTACACAGGGGGAGGAAGAATGACACTGTATCCACTTGTGCTCACTAAAGGAAAAATGGGGATTTTTTTTTTTCTTCCCTTTCTTAACTCATTGCATAGTGAGAGATAGAAAGGGATACTTGAAACCGGGAAAGGATTCACTCCTGAAAGAATGTACACAGATAAGTCAAGAGCTCTTCTGTGGAATCCCTATTGTTAGAGTTACTGCTGAGTGACCCTTATTTTTTAAACTAGAACTTTCAATCATGGTGTAAAATGTTACAGTTTATGCAGACAAACTGTGAATTGCCAGGGCAGACTCTTCTGGTCACAGCTCTCTGGAAAACAAAGGCTCCCTCCCCATGCTTCTTCCATTTGCTTCCTGCTAAAGAGGAAGACAGGAGAAAGCACCCAGAATATGATTATTTTTTTTTTGAGAGGGGGTAAAATAATAAGGGTATTGTAATTGCTGCTTTTTTCAGGGGTAATTTCAAACACACGTACATACACACAAATGAGATGTTCGAAAATGTGATTTGTAGCTGTTGGGAATTAGGCATTTCATGCCCTTTGTTCTAAAGTACAATCAGGTGGTAAGATCCCTTTTGCTTGTACAATGATTCATCAAACTGTATCAACACTGGTAACTAAGTCCGAATTATGCCACATAACAGATATGTTTTTTAAGTTACTGCATGCTTTGACGAGGCCATTGGTTTTAAAATAAGCGAGCAAGTCCCTATAAAGTATGATTTTTTATAAATGACATTCTTGTAAAACTGCGCTTTGCTAATAGCACAGTGAATCTGTGCCAAATGTAAACCCATTCCAAAATCCATTTGGAAATCTGGAGCTCTGCTGTGGTTCTATAAGACATGTTTGCAGGCCATAGGGCTTTTCTTTTTTCCTCCTTCCAATTTTTTGCAGAATTCATAATGTTTACAGCACAGATAATACTTTGTGCCATAATCCTAATTTAGTGGAAAAATGATCAATATTAGCTGTTCAATAAAGATTTATTTGCAAGTATGTTAATATACCAGTGTGAGGGAAATTACAGTTGGCCAATAATGATAAAGTTGCATACTGCCTTATTTGGGGAGGAAGACAAGGCTAGTCAAGAAATGTTATTGAGGAAGATAAGTACAGAGTACTTGAAACTAAGAACTTTTTAAATTGAGCATACTGTATTCAGAGATAATACTGAGTTTGTTCAGGTAGTTCAGATAATAGTAAAGCACCCCTTATTTATGAAACCAGAACTTTAGGGTGTGGATAACTGAACAGATATAAAATCATGTGGCTCACGAGGGTACATCACTAGAAAATGAATACTAGCACATTTAATTAAGGTCTCTACCATTGTTGGATTTCCTTCCTAGCCCAGAATTGGATTTTGGAATCTCCCCTCATTTTGGTGAATATAAACAGCAATAAAGGATGGTAGGTTTTCCAATCCTAAAGGATTTCACCTGAGGTTATAACCTTAGGAATATTCACTCTCCCATACCATGTGCCCCCCTACACACACACATACACACACACACACACTCTCTCTCTTTCTTCAAGTCATTGTATTTTAATTTAGCAGTAATCTCTGGCAGACCTGGAAAAACAAGCTGCACTTAACAGCATAATGAAACCAAAGGCATAATAACTCATCATACTTTTCCATCAAAAACCATAATTTCACACTCCACCTACAGCTTTGAAAACATTTTTTCATATGGGGAAAATTCCCTAAAATATATCCACTCGTCTCACAAAGTAAACATGGTTATGTAATTACACTGATAAAACATCTCTCGTACAACAACTGGCAAAACTGTGAAAATGATGAGAAAGCAGATGGGCTTTAACGCTTTGTAACACTGCTATCTGTTAGTCCTATATCTTCAGTAACAGCCTGTCGGTCCTATTGTTCTGTAATATGCCAATGCCTTTGCCTTTGTATGGTTTCCTATCTGTTTAGTGATGGTCAACCCCACTTGGTTTTAAGTAACAATATAGGGAAAAAATATATATACTGCTTGGTGTTCTAGCTAAAGGTTTACCAGTATTCATAGTGATATGCTGAAGTGGCAGCAGTTAACTTGGCAGTTGTCAGTTGAGAATGAAAGTAGCATGTATGAAAACTGTTTGATGCTTTATTAACACCATGTAGATGACTTTAAAACTAGTGCATGAAAATACATCAGGGTTAATAAGCTGTTATCATACAGTAGATGCATGGTTTCAGTCCTTTGGTAATATACCTAGTCAATCATTGTTTTCACCTGCCAGGAAAAATGAGCAAACAGTCAATTTGATAGGTGTGGAGGGTGGGGTATGAGACATCAGGGATGGATTTTAAGGAAGTTTTGAATGTGGTAATTTCTGATTGTGCACAAATTTCATATGCCAGCCTAGGCTGTGTTCAGTTTGTAAAATAAGCAAAATTATTTGACACTGATTAATTGATATATTTAACTATGTCCCATATGTAGACTGCTTCTTGCCACTTTGAACAAGAATTCACCCAGCTTTCAGGATGCCTTTTCAAAAGCATCTCCTAGTCAGATTGGTATGTACAGATAATTGGCATAAAAGTGGGAGGATAAAAATTGGATGATGCCTGGCTGCTGAGGTGCCGATGTTCTTTTGATCCGTTGGCACACTTCTTGTTTCTAGTCAGAGTTTTCTCTGAAAATACAAATAGTCTGATAGTAACATAAGATCTGACTGTACATTTTACATTAGTTCGCTGTTTTGTAAACTGGGTTTTTAGAAAGCACAGTTGCCATTCTGTTAAAGTACATTGCCCCTTAAATTATGGCATAGTTCTTCAAAGTTTAAAGTGGGAATAGAGGAGCCAGAAACTTTCTAAGCATTGTAAAACGTTTTGAATTTATATTGACCTTGTATGGGAGAGAGTAGAGGCGGGGGTTTTAAAGAAATGCCTTGTAAAAATGTAGTTTTAGAGCAGATTAATGATGGTGGGGAAAGTGTTGCTAATTTGTTTGTTTATTTCCCTGAAAGAAATGGGAAGTGTGATGAGCAGTTTAATAATTTTTTAAGGAGCTGGTCTCAATTTTAGTACTTTTTAATTATTAAAAGAAATCAATGTTTCCTTAAATTTTGTTGTTGTGTTGTCACAGTTATCTAGGGTTCATATCCAATTTTCTGTGGCAGCTCAATTTTATATAGTATTTTAAAAGGTAAGTGTAATGTCTTTTTGACAATATAAATGAAAAGCAAGAATATAAGGCATAGAAACGTTCTCCTTTAAAAATATCAATGATGTATCCTGGAATGTGAAAATGGCCCTTTATAGTTAAAAACTGAATTATTTTAACATTGTACCATTGTTCTGACCTTGAATGAGTCCATGTTGCAGTGTGTGTCTGTATGTCCGTAGAGGAAGAAAAACAATTGAAATGTTACTTTAAAAAATCTGAATAAATTGGGCACTGTCTGTGTTGCACCACTACTGTATCTTTTTGAAAGAATTAACAGTATTTTCATATTGTAAAATTTAATTCTGATGATGTTTTCACATTCACCAAACATGCATTTTTTTTTTCATATTATTTGCATCCCCAAGTATTTAATACAAGTAGATTTTGCATGGCTTGGGCAATCAGAGATTAATAGAATGATGACTCAATTTTAATTTCTAAAGCCATGAAAAGTTGCTTTGAGACTGAACAATTCTGAATTTTTATTTATAATGACATCTAATGTCTGTGTTTCCCTACTGTAAAAGAATTGGTCAGTTTCTTCATTAAAACAGCAAGAACTTATTAAATCTTGTAAATACCATGTGTCTGTTAGGTCTCTGTGTATGCTGTGAATGAAATTATTTTGAGATGAAATTGTACAAAGGCATTTAAAAAAGCTATGCATGCATCGTACCTACAAACAGTACATATTCAGAGAGTCAAAGATTCCTGCAAAATAAATTAATAAAACTAAAAGCAAACACTACATTCTGCATTTTTTCTGTGTAGCTAGAAATAATTTTTTTGTTTATTTATTGTAGTTCAAGTGAAAGTTTACATTTCAGGTTAGTCTCATACAAAAATGTGTACATACATTGTTACATGACCCTAATTGCTCTCCCTGTACTGTGGCAGCACACTCCTCCATTCCACCCATGATTTCCCATGTCCATTTAACCGGTTCCTAGCACTCTCCGCCTTCCCATCTCACCTCCAGACAGAAGCTGCCTGTTTAGACTCATGTATCTACTTGAGCTAAGAAGCACACTCTTCGCAAGTATCATTTTATGTCCCATAGTCCAGTCCAATCTTTGAAGAGTTGGCCTGGGAAATTGTTTTAGTTCTGGGCTGATAGAGAATCCAGGGGCCATGCTTTCCAGGGTTCCTCCAGTCTCAGACCATTAAGTCTGGTCTTTTTACTAGAATTTGAGTTCTGCACCCCACCTTTCTCCTCCATCAGGGACTCTCTGTT